TTTTTTTTTTGGTCGGAACGATAGAAGGACTATTATAACTCAAAACGCACAAAAGTGCAAATAAAACTACAAGGCTCCCAACGAGAGAAGAAAGAGCAGCTAAAGGCTGAATAAAATGGGAGGACAGGTCTGACGACCGCCTAGAATCCCGACTCTAGCAACGCTAGAAACCCAAATCAAAGACTCACTAGACACCTAACACCACAAAACACAACGAAAAACTACAAGGATCCCAACAGGATAATACCCGAGTGTCTGTTCCCAACAAGAGAATAAATTTTGACACTCGGGCTCACTGGGGCTAAACGGCCCAAACCAAAAACACAGAAAACAAAACAACACAAACAAACACGAGTAACCCACAGAAAAACTAAATAACTAAACATAAAAAACACTCAAGCCCTTCCACAGTAGCAAATCCGAGACAGACCAGCAAGCACCAAATCGACTTCAGAGGAATCCCTAGCCTGAGAAGGTCGACCCCTCCACTGCCAAACCGCCTAGCTGAGCCGAACCCCAAGCATCAGAAAGTCCCCAAAAAACCAATTCACCCCGAGCCGAAAAACTCCAGAAGGCACCCAACCGCCACAGTATCTAGCCGACTAACACCACTAGCAACTCGATACCAACAGCAAACACTCCAATTCCCCGCGCCAGAGAGAATACCCAGTCACCACCGAGCCGAGCCAACTAACACCACTAGCAACTCGGACCCAAGCAGCAAGCATCCCTGGACCCTGCGCCAGAGAACCGGAAGAGGGAACCGATCTGAAGAAGCAGCCATAGCCACTTCGGCCCGAAGCCGCAAGCCGCCGGAGCTGCACCCGTCCCTTTCCCGTAGAACCTCCCCTCAACTAAAACCCACCGCAGCTCCATGGTAGAAGTCTCCCGAGAGACAGCGACAGAGCCGCGCCGCGGAGCCACGCTTTGAACCGCACCATCACCGAGCCTCATCACCGGTACAACAGGCCCAGCCCTCGCCATAGCACAGGACCAAGCGACACAACCAACACCGGATAGACGACGTGGATTTGGGCGGACAACCTCTTAATTGCACATTCAGTCGAGGGAGGTCGCAGCGACGGGAAAGGGCTGATCGGCTAGGGGACGGCTGCCGTCGGCCCAGAAGCTAAGTGGAAGGCAGCAAATTGAGAAACGACGACGAGGGTTTCGGTGGAAATTGGGGGCGACGAGGGTTTCGGTGAAAGGGATAAAAATTTTAAGTATAACCAAAGCATCATTCAAATTGCGATATTGATGGCAGGAGATCATATTATTATGCGTGGGCTATAGAAACAGGTTTTCTTAATTTGTTCTTCAAACATACGGCCACAAGCATATGGATGTCGCTTAATCCGATAACATTTAAATTGCTGATGCAAAATACATTCAAATCACCAATTTAAATCACCATTAATTCGATTAAATTTGTCCAATAAACATCAGGGACAAAATAATCTCTCAACATATATACAAACAAATTATTTATGCACAACACATTCTCTGATACCACATGTAAACATCATCATAGGATCTTGAATAAATAATTTGGTGTATACGAAACACTTACTTTATGCGGAAGACGACATAATTTGTGATCTTGATCTTGATGATCACACCGGATTGAATAGATTGGTAGATCTAAATTAGTTTCTCTCCTCTGACTGTCTCTTAACGTAGCAAATAATTGATGGGATAATACTGCGTACCCTAATAGGAGGAGAGATGACTAATTTATATAGGAGGTGCTTTAGATCTGGTACGTCCATCAAATATCCAGATTAATGGCTTAGATTTGTTTGACTATTAAATAAAGGCACAGCCCAATAGGATAATTAAATGTGAGCCCAATGCTTTCGGGCCACATATTCTTACAATACTACCATTTAACACATCTATACTTATATTAAAAAGTATACCATTTATCAGATTTAGTATAAAGAAAAGTCAACAACATTTATTGCATTACTATTTACGTATTATACAATCTATACTTATATAAAAGGAGATTCTATTTGCTACATTTACTATCTAGAAAAGTCAACTGCATTAAATGCCATACTATTTTGGTATTATAATATTTTATTTATTTGATTGATTTATTTATTTATTTTATTTTAAAAAGGTAAGTATAATAAAAAAATTATAATAATAAAAAAATCAAATACCAAATAAAAATGTACACTTTGACTTATTTGATTATATTTGGTATTTGATTATACCAAATATATTCCTATTTAGTATATACATTAAATACTTACTAAAGTATTTATTTGTTTTATTTGTCAAAGTTAAGCATAGATTTGTTTATATTATCAAATCATAAAAAAATATTAAATCCATATTGTAAAAAAAAAAAGAAAATCATATAATTTTATAACAATTCTACTACACTATTTAACAATATTTCTTTTTTATTATATAATAAAATAATAATTAAATATTATATGGTGAACAACAATAAGTAAAACTGTTACTTTCTCTTATATCAATGGATAAATTTATATGCTAAAATTAAATTTTTATTAGTATAAATGTTTTAGTGAGATAATATATTAATTATTTTACAAGCTAGCCCTAACATGCTCATATTTAATGTTTTAAAAGATGTAGAAAAAAAACTTATAATAACTCTATTGTTTTTTAGACTTAAACGTTGATTAAAAGAGGTAAAAATTCCTAATTTTTTAGACTTAAACGTTGATTAACACCATAGATTGAGAGTTTATATTTAGTAAAATTCCTAATTGTAATAAAAAAATTAATTTTTGCTATATTTTAGAATATCTTTAAATTCATTATAAAAAAAAAAAAAGAAAAAAAACTACAATGAAAAAAGCTAGTCAGCTATATATCGATTTGTTGTACTCCTTAAATCACATTCACAATTTAGCTACAAGGAAAGAAAACTCATTGATTAAAATATTATTTTGTCAGTAGTCTTAATGTACAAGAGACCTTAAGACTCCACTTGAATATTATAAAACTTTTATTGAACATTGTACAATTTTTTTGCGTATTATAAACTTTTATTGAATATTGCATCTTATAATATAATATTCTCTAAATAAATATATCTCGTGCTTTGCACGGGTCACGTACTATATATATCTCGTATATTTTTCTTTATTCATGTATATAATTATAAATCTGGATAAATAGTATTAAAATTGTGCACCCCGTGCTCTGTACTAGTCACTCGGAAATTTGTCATTTAATTCTTTGTAAAGAATTCAGGTGATGGAAGCAAAAACCGCCAGTGTGTGTTTTGTATGAAAGACGCAATTGCTCGCAGCAAGTCATGTCCTCAATCTCTCCTATTGTGACACAGCCAACAACACACTTCTCCATAAACGCCAACAAAAACCAATACCAACAGCCCGAAAATCTCACACTACTTATCGAAAAAAGCAAATCCATCAAGCATTTAACTCAAATCCACGCATTCCTTATACGCCGTGGCCTGGAAACCCAAACCATCCTGAATTTCAAGCTCCTCAAATCATATTCATCTTTGGGACATGTCCAAAACTCCCTCTCAATCTTCAATACCACAGAAAACCCAAATGTCTACTCCTATACAGCAATAATCCACGGCCACGCCACAAACGGCCTCCACGAACAAGCCCTCCACTTTTACACACAAATGTTTACCGAAAAAGTAGAGCCCAACGCTTTCACTCTTTCCTCTGTCTTGAAGGTCAGCACCTTAAAAACCGGAAAATCTCTTCATTGCCATGCTTACAAGCTCGGGGTAGAGTCAAACAATTATGTCCGGACATCACTTATTGATGTTTATGCAAGGGGCGGAGATGTTGTGTCTGCCCGTAAGGTGTTCGACAAAATGCCTGAAAAGAATATAATATCCTCAACAGCAATGATCACCGGTTACACAAAGAATGGGGATATCGACGAGGCAAGGAAGCTGTTTAACGCAATGGACGGGAAAGACGTCGTGAGCTGGACCGTGATTATTGGCGGGTATGCTCAGCACAAGAGCCCAAACGAGGCTTTGATCCTTTTCAGAAAAATGATGAGATCCGGATTGAGGCCGAACGATGCAACTATGCTGGCTGTCCTCTCTGCTTGCGGTCAAGTGGGTGCACTTGAGTCGGGCAGGTGGGCCCACTCCTACCTTACCCACAACAAAACCTTTACAATCGATGCTAGAGTTGGGTCGGCCTTGATCGACATGTACGCGAAATGCGGGAGTTTGGAGGACTCCCGTTCGGTGTTTGATGGGATTAGAGATAAAGATGTGATCGTGTACAATGCCATGATCGGGGCTTATGCAATTCACGGCCACACTAAGGACGCTTTGGACCTTTTCCGAAAAATTCGGGAAAACGGCCTCCCGCCGACTGACGTCACATTCATCGGTGTCCTTAGCTCGTGCGCGCACGTGGGTGCCGTCTCGGACGCGCGGGCTATCTTCGACTCGATGGAGAAGGAATACGGGATGAAGCCGAAAGTCGAGCATTACGGGTGCATGGTGAACCTTCTGGGCCGGGCTGGGAGATTGGACGAGGCTTACGGGCTTGCCATGAGTGTAGCCGAACAGGCGGACCCCGTCATCTGGGGGACGCTGCTCGACGCGTGCAGGCTCCACAAAAATGTCGGTCTTGGCGAGAAAATATTCGAGCAGGTAGTTGCGTGTGGGGAGGCAGGGTCGGGGGCCCACGTGCTGTTATCAAACATCTATGCTGGGTCGGGAGATTGGAATGGGGTTTCGAGAATGAGGGCTCGGATGAAGGAGTGTGGAGTGCGCAAGGAGCCGGGTTGCAGCTCGATCGAGGTCGACGGTGAGGTGCATGAGTTTGTTGCGGGGGACGTGAAGCACCCGAGGGCTGAAGAGATCTATGGCATGCTCGGGAAAATGAGCGGTTGGGTAAAGGAGAGGGGATACGCGGCCCAGACGAAGGGGGTGTGTTCTTGTGGGGAGGTACTGGTGAAATATTAGTTTCATAAGGGAAAAGAACTAGAGTGTGTCAATTTGTACCATCATTTATAAGTGAAATATCTGACATTTTTTCAATTCGATTATATATGTAGGTTTCATGTACACTAGTATCTACAACATATGTCAGTACGTAACCGTAAATGGAACAGTTTCTGCTTAGCCCGGCGAAATTTGACTTTTCTTTCTCCCTCTCTGTAAGTAGTGTACATACAAGACCAGTTGGTAAAATATGAAGTTAATTAGCCCAACAGGACTAGCTAATATATGACTCGTGTGAAGGAAAATTTTCATTTGAATGGTCAGAGATGGTGAAACTGGTTACACCAAGAACTCGGGCCCTGCAGTTCCTTCTCCCTCTGTCTCTCTCACTCTACAAGGACATCGTTGTATGTATAATTCTATACAAACTCGAATTTAATTACTCCCTCCATTTTGAAATATAAGGCGTATAAAGATTTTTCATTTTTTTTGAAATATAAGGCGCTCTCAAAAATCAAGACAAATTTTTGCATTTTTTTCCAAATATACCCTCATTGTGTTGAAATTAAGGAAGTTTGGAGTGGTTGTGATTAGAGTAAATAAGGTTAATTTAGTCAATTTATTCATTAATTAATGTCTCCTTAATATTTGTGCAATAACCTTAAATGCCTCATATTTCAAAATGGAGGGAATACTTGCTAAATTTATTTCCTTGATGCAAAAAGTGGTGATCTGAAAATCATGGCCGTTGATAGACGAGGCCCTCAAAAGCATGTTTGCTGAGCATATATAACAAAATCTTCCCCTAATGCATGAGAATGGTCGACCTTGGCGCTCATTGGGACCCAATACGTTTTTCCTCATCTCCCAAGTAATGGACATGATCGAGGACCTGCCCACAAACAACGACAACTTTGAAAAGACTGACTTGCGTCAGCTCAAGGTGCTTTTAAATTATCTCCCTGGTAATGACTTCAATGACCTATTCCGATTGGCGTCCAGTTTCGGTCAAGAGGACAGGAAACAAGCAAAGGTGAAATTTTTTATATACGGCTTGCCAAGTGATAGCCTATTCCCGAGGAATATCCTACACTTTGCTTACTCTTCCTTCAGTGTTCATTGGCTCTAGCAGGTAAATTCACATTTAGTTAAAGTTTCAAGTCTTATTAATGAAGAAGAAATGCGATTTTAAGAGTTAATTGATGGGACAAAAATCGCTTACTTGAAAGATTTATCATTCTATATTTACAACCCTCAGTAGTTAAATGGCTAAAGTATTGATGTTATCATTGACAAGCAAAATTGTCCGCGCTTAAATGTACCACGTCAAGAACTTTGGCGCCCAAACTGCTCGATCTGCCCGAATTGTGCAATTTTGTTAGGCCACGTGGCCCCATCCACGTGCGGCTCTTAACCCTTAAGGTTTCTTCTTATCCCTAAGTCTTTCCTATTAGATCGCCTTATGGTGCAACCAACTCGAGGTCTGCTGGGGTAGAACATTGTTTCTTCTGAGACCAAGTGTCGTCCTTTTTGGTCGATCATACGACCAGCCATGCCTAAAGGTCGAGTTTTGACAGGCCATCCGAGGGCCCTAGCTCGACTTGTCGTTGTCCTTGTGAAGCCTTCGGTCCTTTCGACCTGAAGATGCCTTGTTGTTGCTCGACCACCTAGTTCGCCCACAATTAGTTGACTTGTTCATTCCCTTGTTCTTCCGGATAGGTATTATATGTCATCTTGTCCCCCAACTCTGGTCGAGTTGAAATAACTCAATCTAAGAGTAGATTTTTCCTTGATTTTGGTTGCCAAATTCTGGCTTTCTGCTTTTTGACCTCATAGTTTCTACCATTTTGCTGCTTTCCCTACATTTTTCGATCTCCTTTACGGTCTTTATTTAGAATTTTGAAATTTGAATCTCTACCAACATATCAGATCCATCAATCCAAACGCCAGGTTGATGTCACTGCTCCGTAAGTCGCGTTGCCTCTCCTGACGCGCCCATTAAATGCTCATTCAATGATAACCGTTAGATTTGCCTTTAATATGACGGTTATTCTTATTGTCTCTTCACTCAGCCCAATAAATCTTAGCCGTCACTGCTTGTTTCAATCCAATGGCTCTTTGTTGCCGTCCTTTCAACTTTGCATCGTCAAATCTTCGCCTTTGATTGCCATCTTCATCCAACGGTCTCAAATCGACCGACTTTCCAGTGCACCACTTAGATCTTAACCGCCGGCATTGATAATGATCCAACGGTCAGGGTCCATCTACCCCCGCGTTCAACACCTATAAATACCCCTAATCTTGAACATTTTCAACTTTTTACCTCTGCGAAAATTCCTTATAGCAATACTCGTTCTCTTTTTCTGCATTCAAAGTTCTCATCCCTACTTCGACCAACATCTCATTGAGTTTCGCAAGCAATCCACGCAATTTCTGACAATGAGCGAGGCAGTAGAAAACTCAAAGGAGCCACAAACTCATAGGGTGAGTAAACACATCGAGCGCATGTACCACCTGATACGAGACATCGTAGGAAGAGGGGAGGACGTTGTTGCCCAGATTTTGTCTGAGGACAACCTGACAGATCCTTTTACGAAGAGCCTACTAGAGAGGGTCTTCGAGAGGTACGTGTAAGGAACAAGAGTCAAGCGCATGGTGACGAGTTAGACTGTTCCTTGAGAATAAGGATTGAGAGTGTATACTTAATATAGCCTCCTACCCGACTGGTTTGCATCGAGTTTCTTCTCCTCACATAGGTCTTGGAGCTATGATTGAGCACGATAGCATCGGGGTGTCGTACCTCAAACAAGTCATAGTCTAGGCCTTTGGCCTCCTTCTTTATACAAAAAATAAAAAAAAAAAAAAAAAAATGTATTCATTATGTTTCGCTATTTTCCCAATTTCGATCATAATAGCAGAAAGGGAAACAATCAGATAATATTGAGCCCTAACGTCTTACTGAATTCCAACTTTTTATATTGATTTTTCCAAACTAGTGTGTGGCCCGTGCGATGCACGGGAAAACAATATTACGATTGTATTATAAATTAAATATATAAATAACATGATTTACCCATTGTTTTTAAATTAAACTGGGTTGGACATAGTCCGACCGGATGGACCGAGAACCGGTTTATAACCAGTCTAGTTCGCTTGAATAAAATATTTGCTCTCGAATCCGTCAACACCAGTCGAATGGACTGGTAGGATCAATACGATTTTCTAAATAAATTTTGTTATATATAAAATTATTTTAAATAAAATTGTATATTTAAATAAAATAGAGATATATAAATTATTTATCAATTAGTTATAAACATTTGAATTTATAAATTGTTTAGATATATAAGTAACACTTTATTTAAATTTATTACAAAAAGTACTATATATATATTAAAATATTTATAAATTAAAATCTGAACAAACCACAACTATATATATACATATATAATAAAATGTTTACAAATTAAAATCTGAATAAACCACAAATGATTTAATTAAATAGCTTGATCGTTTCGATGACGGTCCAGTTTTGAAAACTTTATATTTACTGTATATTAATAAATATTATAATAAAATATTATTTAATTCACATAAATATTAATAAAATAAAAATGATATATAAATATTCATAAATCATTAAACACCTTGTCATAAAAATATTGTTAATAGGATTATTTGAAGTTTGGGTTACATCACATTCACGTAATAAAATATTTTCAATATAAAATTTATATTTAGGTTCAATAATCGATTTGGTGTGGTCAAACTGATACATAACTTAGTCACCTGGTACTATCCAAGTTGTGTCAAGTTTTTTGACTATTTTAACTATCACATAAAAGTAATTCAATCAACCTGGGCAGTACCCTAATTCAATCACCCGATCGATTCGAAAAAAATTTCTTATTTTCTTTAAATATATTTAATTTTATGAAACAAAAGTATTTAATGATTCATATAATAAATGTTTACACCAAATGATAGTATACTTAGAATCTAAATTATATATCTAAAGATGAATTAATTATTTTTACTTTATGCATATTAATAAAAAATAAACATAGTAATTTTCAAAAATATAAAATTAATTGATTGATTATGCAATTTAAAGAATATATTTTTAGTGTTCAATATTTTTTTTAAAGGCACAAATATAAAGACCGAGATTCTAAAATTTTTATTATATTTTGAATATGAGATTTTATAATGTAGAGACCGATATTTTATTGTTGTTCGTTGTTTCCAAGAAAAAAATAAAAATAAAAACATACACACTTAATAAATCTTAGTCGAATTTTTTAAATAATAAAATAAACTAAAGCATTTAAAGTAACATTTAATGCTGTTTTTAAAGAAAAAAAATAAGAAAAATAATAAAATTTACTATTTATAGACTGCATTAAATTTTAATCCATTTTTTGCTACTATTTCTAGTAAAATAGTAAATTCTTATTATATATATGTAGATTGAACCTTTTCATTTTACAAAAAATAAATACTATTTATTAGGGGCCAAATGCACACACCTGAAGGAAAATGATATCCACTTCTCTAATGTGAAGTATTTTAAGAATATCATATTAAACAGTCTCAACACAATGTAATAAAATAAAATATATATTATATATAAGATATGGTTTGCCCACTTTGTAAAAAGTTACCGTGGAAAATCAAGCTCAACTTTGCATCCACGCTTGTAGAGTCGTAGTAACCTTTCCTCCGACACGGAAAAAAAATAAATATAAAACTTACTGTTCATTTTAAATCGTAACTAAAAAAAACATGAAAAGCAACAATCATTATTGGAAAATATGTTAACTAGTATAATAAAAACTTCAAATCCTTTTTCTACTTTTTACCCTGATCCCCGTTTATATTTTCAAGTATTTGACTACGTTCCTTTTATTCGCCCGTGTGGTGATTTTGTTGAAATATTTAAAGTTGGAGACAGCAAATGTGACATAGAAGCAGTTGTAAATAGCAGTAGATTTTTAACTTATTATAAGTTAGTTACCTTAATTAGGTAACATAAAAAAATAATCTAAAGTTTGGGGATTAATAATATATAATTATCTGTACTTTTTGGTCCCTGCAACTAATATATGTTCTCAAATCTAAAAATTCAATAATTAAGTATTTTTATATTGTAAACAATTCAAAAAATGCTGAAATAACCAAATGATTAGTGCAAAATACTTGATGACGTCCATTATATATCCAGTCTAGTTTTAGCCATTGATTGTTAATTAGTATTAATAATTGTATTTAATGGTTATGCATCCTAACATGTTGATTCAACCTCAAAGAACTCAGCTAGCAGCCTAGCACCAACTTATCTCCACCTAGGAGCACTTAAAAAACAGTAGTTGGTTAATAATATAAAATCGAAAAATAAAGTATAATAAAATTAATGTAAATAATGGGGTTAGTATGTTAAAAAAAAAAATGTTTTCAAGCAAAAATTATATTATTATATTTTAAAATATGACACTTTAAAAAATCTAACTGTTTAAACTAATACATAAAATAAAATATATTCAGTTGTTGGGGTTTGATACAAATTTAAAATGTTAATGAATAATGTGAAACTATCATGGTCATGATCCACATCCAACTGTTGGATTATAATTGCCAGCAGCCATTCTAAACTCACAGACATTGTATTTGTGGCATGATTACTTTAATATCGATTATGAATCATGAATGTAAATAATTTAATTAAATCGGATACTGGTCAATCCAAATCGAGGTGAGTTTATCATTTCCCAATTAGCTGGTTCGAATACGATTAATGAAATAATATATACGGAGTATCAAAAAATATATATAAATCGAGGTGAGTTTATCATTTTCCAATTAGCTGGTCCGAATACGATTAATGAAATAATATATACGGAGTATCAAAAAATATATATAAATCGAGGTGAGTTTATCAATTTCCAATTAGCTGGTCCGAATACGATTAATGAAATAATATATACGGAGTATCAAAATATAATATATATATATATATAGATATATACAGGGTTGTGGTCGAAGTGAGAATAATATTTAGTGAAAGAAATAAGAATGCATCTCAGTCATACAATCCGAACATTAAACTGACTAAAAAAAATCTAAAATTTT